ACGACGACGACGACGTGTGGACGGCTGGCGCCCTCCCGGGGCGCCCCTCCCGGCCAAGAGAACGACGACGACGACGACGACGAAGACGACGACGACGATGACGACGATGACGACGACGACGACGACGACGACGACGGCGATGGCGACTTCGCTGCATGCCACGAGACCCTCAACGACTGAGTCACAATGTGGAATGTCATGGGAGCAAAATCAATGAATGTTGGCATTCGGAAACATCGTGGGGGTTTTCGGGGCCCTCGTGGGCCGTTTTGGCGCCTTCATGGGCCGTCCTGGGGCCTTCTTGGGCCGACTTGGGGAGCTTGGGCCCGCTGGAGCCCCCTTTGGACCCATCTTGGGCACTTCCGGGGACCTCTCATGGCCATTTCGGGTCTGTGCTGGGAGCCCTTGGGGGGCCTCTTGGGTCTATTATGGGCTGTTTTGGGGCTCTCGTGGGCGATCGTAGGGCTCGGCTCGGCCGTCTTGAAGCTTTCTTGGGGGCCTTTTGGGGCGTCTTAAAGCGATCTCGGGGGGGCTCAAGCCGTCTTGAAAGCTGATGAAATCCGAAAGGCGAATATGGTAAGACTGTAAGTTATACAAAGGAAATGGGACGATTTGTGTTTTGAAGGCCCCTTGGAACGCTTTTTGGGGTGCCTTGGGGGTCTTCTGGGCGGTCCTGAAGCAATTGGAGTCCCTCTTGGAGCGCTCTTGTGCTGTCTGGGGCCTCTCCTTCCTGATGACCACTCTGATCGCTCTGGGTCTGCTGGCAAGGCGTTTGTGGAGACCTGGAAAGCCAGGTGACCTTTTCCAAGGACGTCCAAGGGAGCCCGAGAACCCCAGATCCCGGGAATCCAGTTTTTTTGTTGGGGGGGGCGGTTTCCCCCCCCCCCCGGGGCTTGTAAAACTATAGGAAGAGGAACATATACCTGAATAGAGAGAGAGAGAGACAGAGAGCAGGCGTGGAGTAGCAGCACAAGCGAAGTGTATCGATTGGGTTTCCCTGGCGTAACTAAGGTGGATCAGTGATGAACTCTCCCGAAAGGACCAAAGACGGTCGGAACAACAAACTCGCTCAAACACCTACGCCCAGAGGGCCCGTGGGATTGCAGAGTTTGCTGGGTTTCGGAAGCTATGGCCATAGCGTCGAGATCTTTGGAATCTGCCCAGTTTGGGCACGTACCGCGCCACTCGCTATTGCATGATTAGCGCCCACACGAGGAGGAGCGTCGACCTAGGCAATATTCTTCCGCTGGTTCAAGAGCTTGGCGTCCGGACATGTTTTCGGTGCGATCGAAAAAAAACATGGCGTGATCTCGTTGTTATGCTCCCAGATTTATCGTATTGTGCAACCAGCGCTGGTGACACAGACGCTGCAGTTTGGGAGCTGCCGTGACACTCACATCTCTTCTGGGTCCATTGGTTCAGGGCTTCATCGGGTCCTTACGTTGACAGGTGCGCGGGAAGGTACACGCGCGGATTTCAATCGTCATTCGTCTGGTGCAGTACATGATGTTCCGTCTCGCCTGTTTACGAGCAGCAGCCGCTCTGCGGTTGATCGGGAGTTTATGTTGCGCCCACGTGTCCCGCTCTCGGTCCTTCCCCCCTCCCCTGCCCCTCCTCCCCCGTCCCCACCCATTCCCCCCCTCCCCTCCCCCTCCGCCCCGCCTCCCCCCTCCGCCTCTCCCCCCTCCTTCCCCCGCTCTGCCCCTCCCCCTTCCTCCCCCCTTCCCCCCCCCCCCCCCTCTGCCCCCGCCAGGGGGGGAACTGGTCCTGGGGGGGCGGTTGGCGGGCCCATGTCCTCGCGCGCCAGGGGTCAGGATGACGTGAGCTCACAAGACAACCTCCCGCAAATGGTAGACGCTTCTTGCAACCCCACCAGTCCATCCAGAAACGATGCCCAGACGAGTTGCACTGATCTGGGATGTGGGGTCTTATGCAGCGGAATACCGGGTTGGGTGAGGCGTCGTACCCCAAGAGGAGGAGGATGGAGGAGGAATAGGAGAAGGAGAAAGAGGAGGAGGAGGTTGAGGAGGAGGCGGCGGAGGAAGAGGAACAGGCGGGAGAGGAGGAGGAGAAGGAGGAGGAGGAGGAGGAGGAGGGCGAGCAGAAAGGCCAGGGGTCTCCTGGCTGCCTCTCGGAGTCTCTTCGGATTTCGCTCAACAGTGCCTTGTGGTCCTTCAGGGGCCTCTGGGGGCCCCTTGGGTGCCTGTCGGGGGCCTCTTGGAGCCTCTTGGGGCTCTCTTGGCAGTCTCTTGGGTGCATATTGCGGGCATCTAGGGGTGCCTCTTTGGGCCTCCTGGACACCAGAAGGAGGGGGGGGTCTTACTCAGGGCCCCCGCCCCCAGGAGGCCAAACGGTGGCCACAACCTCAGTAAAATAATGATGTTGGTGTTTTTCCCCGAAGCGTCTTGCGGCATCTTGCGTGCCTTTGGGGAGCCCTTTTGGGGCCTCTTGGGGGTCTCTTGGGAGCCCCTTGGGGGCATCTCGGGGGCCTCTTGGGGACCTTTTTGGGCCTCTTGGGCACCTCTTGGTGCCGTCGTCGAGCACCCTTACGAGCCTCGGGGGCCATCTTGGTGTCATGTTGGGAGAGATCGATCAAAGGAGGGGGGTCTCCCTACTCAGGGTCCCTCCCCTTTAGGATGCCAAACGATGGCCAATACCGTAGTACAATTACTGATGTTGGCCTTTTCGCCGAGGCATCTTGGGGCGTTTGGTGTGCCTCTGGGGGGCATATTGGGAGTATCTTAGGAGCTCAAGTGGGGCATCTTGGGGGCCTCTTAAGGCCTCCTGGGCACCTCTTGGGGCCGTCTTGGGGCACCCTTGGGAGCCTCCGGGGCCATCGTGGGGCAAGCTTGGAGGTGATCGGTCAGAGGAGGGGAGCTCCCACATTCGGGCGAACCCCTGGGGGATATGGGGAGGGGATGGGCCAAGGCACCCTCCCAGCCCGCAGGGTCTCTCTTTCTCTCACGTTCACCCGCCTCTGCCAACACACAAGTACACGCGAGCCTCAGCAGATTGGGGGGTCGTCGATGGACGAACATCTACTGGGAACCAATACAGACCCCAAGTGACGGCGGGGCGAGGTGGGCCACGCGTGCAAGGCACGCCTCGCACGCCAGATGCGCCACGTGCTTCGAGTGCGCCATGTGTACCGCATGGTCCAGCCGTGCCGGGTGCGCCACGTCCGGGGCGCACGTGCAGAGTGTGCCAGGTGCGCCAGCGCACGTGACAGAACACATCGGGAACCGTGTCGGCCCCCTCCATCCTTATCACAAACCTGTGCACATTCGCGGCGGGGAGGCCGTCAGGGTGGCTGGTGGAGCTGCACTCCGCAGGCAACATGCCGACACCTCCGCGGTCCTTGTCACACGCAAGGGTGGCCGCGCACGATCCAGATGGGGCCGCGAAGTACATGTTGTATTGCTCCCGAGCATATTCTGGTGATTAGTATTCGTTTTAAAGCAGGCAGCGCCGCGCGTCCCTCTCCTCGCTTCTCCTCCTCCGCATCTGTTTCTTCTTCCTCTCCTCCCTCTCATCCCTCCCCAGCGTGCCTTGTTTCCCCCATCAGTCAATCTTTGGGCGATTCCCCAGAAAGTTACGACTCGGCCGCTGGCAGCGTCTCAATGGTTTGATGTCACGAAGCGTCTGTGCCGCAATGTGTTACAATGGTGCGCGGTTTCGCCAGGATGTTGCTCCGAACTACCCACTCTACGGCTCCGTTGTGCCAACTTCGTTTTGCGTGGCGCCCCTCCCGATGGGAGATTCCCTTGTTTTTACGCATCGTTGCGCAATTGAGTACGTTTTGTTGTGTTTTGAGCGGCCTCTTGCTGTCTCAGCAGCGGTTTGGTTTCCCCCCCCCGCTTCCGCCACCCCCAAGTGGAGCTGCATGAAACGTGCCAGCCGGGATCGCCCAAATCAAGTCTAGCAAGACATGTCGGTTCACCAAGTGGGCGGAGTTGCACTCTAGGTCGGGGACCATGCCCTGTAACCTGCTGCCCCGCTGGCCAAATTTTGCTTTGTCTACCGATCTAACATGTCCCCGACCCAGGTCTCGCGCTCGCTTGCAACACTCCTGGAACTATATCCACTCAGAATGCCTTCGCCCGGCGCCCCGTGCCCAGACAGCTTCCAGAGGGACCTTGACCTTGTGGGGCCCCGCAGAGAAAGTCTCGAGAGGCGTCGCCGATGTCGAACACACTCCCGCACCTGCCGGTTATCAGCTCGGGAGAGCCCGTTCCTTGATCCTGGGCCCCGGCGGGCCGCCAGCGACTTCGAGGCCCCACGAAAAGATTTCTTTCTGAAGGGCGACGCGACACCACCATCAACTACTGGTGGTGCACCTCCAGCGAGGAGGTCGCTCGGTCGAGAGGGGTAGACCACACCACCAGGGTGACCCCCCTTGGCTGCTCCCGCTGGTGGTGGTGGTGTCGCTGTTCCTTCGTCTTAGCACATGGTTCCATTGGGGACCTTTTGAAGTGGACTGGCTGGTAGTGCGATTCGAAACCAACCCTTTAAGGATCAATCCCACGGCCCTGTGAGGGCGAATCGGATTCTTGACAAGCTGCCGATTCCTCGCACGCAGTGCCCGAAAACTCGAGCGCCAACGAACAAGTTGGTCTCCTTTGCCTCCTTGACGCTTCTCTCTTGATCTCGACATAGGCCCGGAAATGAGGCCTCAGGTCAGTCCTCCTCCCTAGTCAGCTCCAATTGCAGGTCATGTGGCTGGGTGCCTGCAGGATGGCTGGCCAGAGGAGGAGGGAGGAGGGAGATGGGATGGAAGAGCGTGGAAAAGAGAGGGAGAAGGAGAAAGAGGAGGAGGACGAGGACGAGGAGGAGGAGGAGGAGGAGGAGGAGGAGGGGGAGGGAGGATGGAGCAGGGAGGAAGAGGAGCAGGAAAAGGAGCAGTTGGAGGACAGAGGGGCCGGAACAGCATTCGGACGGGGCACGGGGGTGTGGACGCGAGGCGGCGGGAGGGGGGAAGCCAAAAGAGGGCCGGCGGCGAGGCCAGAACGCCAACCCGATCCGCAGGCGGGGCGGGTGCGGGGGCGGGTGGTTGTACGGCTCGTGCGGCCCACGCTCCATTCCTCTCCTCTCCTCCTGTTGCCCCGTGCCCCCTTCCCTTCCTTCTTCTTCCTCCTCCTCCTTCCCTTCCTCCCTTCCTTATCCGCCTCCTCCTTCCTCCTCCTCCTGTGTCCCATTCCTCTGTTGCTTCCTCCCCTGCTGCCTGCCCTCCTTTGCTTCCCCAGTGCGGTTTGCGGTCCACTGGGGCTTTCCTAATGGTTCCAACCAGCCCTTTGTGAATGTCGCCTGTCTTGGGCGTTGGTTCTGGCCTGTATCGTGGGTCGTCCCCGCGTGCCCTTCCATGTGGTGCTTCGGTTGTATCCGTGAACCCTGGTGGATCTGTTCGCGCAGCGGCTTACGGAGCCCACCCTGGATCATATCAGTCTGCACCAGGGCCAGAGTCTCTCGCATCAGCGTTTCTCTTGCTTCATGATTTGCCTGACCAGCATTGTCGCTACGTGTATTCCGATGACTGCGAATGGTTGCTAGTCACATGGTCGACTCCTGAGGGTCGCTCTGCTTCCGGACGGACCCCCACGCCGATATTCGGAGGTGCATCCGTCTGGAAGCCTGAAGTTATTTGTAGGCTCCGCGCACCGGTGTTTGGAGGCGCAGGACAATAGCTCATCTTGATGCCATGTCGCCCGCCCGGGCGGCATGGATGACCACAGGCAATGTGCATGTAAATGCGCATGCTCGCAGCGGAGCGCGGGCTGCATCCCTTGGATCGGGCCGTTCTGGAACGTTTGTCGCGCTCCCGCACCTTAGTCGACTATGTTGGCATGTTGAGCCTGTCGTGGCCGCCCGTGCCTCGTGAGGAACGCCCGGCCCCCTCTCCCCCTTCTCCCCCCTCTCTATCCTCCTTCCCATTCCCCTACGCTTTGCGGTGCTCTTCTACGCCATGCCACGCCGTGCTCTACAATGAATCACGTACCCTTTCGGGATCATTGCCCTGCTCGACATCCGACTGTGCGAGTAGAGAGGGGATCTACGCCATGGTAAGGGATGGGAGGGAGGGGTAGGATGTCAGATATGACGCGAGTGCACCTAGCTTGCCCTCCCCCCTCCTCCCCTCCCCCCCCCTCCCCCCCCCTCCCCCTTCTCCCCCCTCTCTCTGTCCCTCGTGCTCTCTCCTCGGGGTGTGCCTCACGAGCTGGCCAGGGAGCGAGGCGTCCAGCTCTTCTGGTGCGTCGCGTGCGGATGGTCTGGCGTGAAACATACCCCTCCTCCTCCTCCTCCTCCTCCTCCTCCTCCTCCTCCTCCTTCTCCTCCTACCCCTCCTCCTCCTCCTCCCTCCTCCCTCCTCCTCCTCCTCCTCCTCTCCTCCTCCTCCTCCCTCCTCCTCCCTACCCCTCCTCCTCCTCCTCCTCCTACCCTCCTCCTCCTTCTCCCCCTAGCCCTACTCCTCCTCCGCCTCCTCCTCCTCCTCCTCCTCCTCCTCCTTCTCCTAGGTCTGCGTTGGTTGGCGAGAGCCCTCTGCATTACCCCTCCTGGTAAGGGGCACGGCGGGCAATAGTGCTATCCACATCCAGTGCGCCTTGGAGTTTTGGGCTCGCTTCCCCAGAAGCCGGAGGCGCACCGGATATGGACGAACACCTGTCCACTAAAGGGCTTGATTGTGATCCATATCCATTGCGCCTCGGCCTTGCGGCATCCCTTCCCGAAAAGTCCAAGACGCTCTGGATGTGGATATAAGTACTGTCCGCAGGCATGTGGCTCCCGAGGTGGTCAGTTAGAGGCTGTGTGGATCGTGCTCACCCGAAAACACACACGAACATTGCGGCCCAGTGCAAATCGGAAGACGGCCTCTGCCGTCGGCCGCGATCGGCTCGAACGCCTGCTCGGCGGGCTCGGTCCCAGCGAACGTATGTTCTTGGTTCCTGCGGCTCCCGGTACCCTTGGGATGTATACAATCAGCCACTGTAGCGGCGCCCAATTTAAGCCGTGTTCCCGCATCGTCAGTGTGCGCGGCGCCGTGCGGTCCCCGTAGTGTTGATGATGGCGACGACCAAGCTGATGCTGTCTGCGTTTGTGCTGCGGCTGTCGGCGATGCTGTTGCTCACCGCCCACCAAACCACCCCAACCCAACCCGAAGGCCACGATTTACCCTCCATTTCCAGTGGGGGGGGTCGGGGAACATCGAAAAAACACGTGGAACCCGTTACCCCCCCAACCCGAAATTCGGGTCAAATTCGGGTCTTCGGGTTGGGTTGGGGTGATCTGGTAGGTGGTCAGTTGCTGCCGGCCAGGGACAAAAAGAGCCGCACTGTCTTGCCGCATGCCCGGGCCTCGCTGACCAGAACGGCTCTTCACAAGGCGTGCTTCACGCTCGGGTGCGTACGGCATGTTCGCGTCGTCTCGACCGGTGGCGACCCCGCCGCCCGCGTTCAACGCTGAGCGCCGCCGGCGACCCAGAATCGGTCGAGGCTCAACGATCTGACGTTGCGGTTCGCGGCCGATCGTGCGAGGTTGAACGATCCCCGCGGTGTCAGGAACCAGCGCGGAGGTCGGCGCGGCACGGACTTGCCGTAGTTGTCAGTCGTGCCCGCAGTCCCGCCCTCCTCGCATGCTCTCTTCTTGCACCCCGCCCCTGCTCGGACCCGCATGCCTCCTGTGGAGTTGGGCCGGTATCTGTGCTCCGTGGTCCTCCTCTCCCTCCTGCGCTGCTTCCCCTCCTTCGGCGGCGAGCCGGGGGGGGGACGAGAGAAAGGGCGGGCCTTCTCAGAAGATTCAGATCCAGACATGATCGCGTCGTGAAAGAATCCGGACGGAGGTTTTTTTCTAATGTTCGGCCTGGGGTCTCTCGCTCGGCTCTGGGGCCGTCAACAAAAACGTCTCGGGATGAAAAACCGGCCCCAGGGAAAGGGTCTGGACTTCCAGGGACGCTGTCCTGAACAACATCAGGACGTCGCATGTCTGGGGAAGTCCCCCGGCCTCCTGGGAGGCTTTCTGAGCCTTCCCTTAGGTCGGGCCTGTCCCCCTACAGAGGGATTTTCGACGAAAAATAGAAAATACCCCCAAAATAGTCAAAACATAGTCCAAAAATAGTCTGGGGACTATTTTTGGAGAATTTTTTTATCTTTTTGGAGCATTTTGGGGGTATTTTTCATTTTTCGTTGAAAAATCCTCTGTAGGGGGACAGGCCTGACTCAAGCCTTCCCCGAAGACGCAGAGCGCCCTGCGCGCCCCTGGGGCGAGGCCTCTTCGGCGCCCGCCCGCCCACCCCGGGCGCGGGGAGGGCGGAGAGGCGGGGTCCGCGTGGCGCGGGGAGCGCCAGCGCACAGAGGGGACACTTGACTTCTGATGAAGTCGGGCGTGTCTTTCTACAGAAGGGATATCCAAAAATAGTAAAACATAGTCTGAGGATTAATGTTTTCAGCATTTTTGTTTGTTAGTTTTTGAGCACGTTGTGAGTATTTGTTTTTGGTCCTCCCAGGTCCGCCTGCAGGGGCAGCACGCCCGAAGCTAAACCTAGCTTTAGCCTTGACCACCAGCAGTAGTTTCGAGCACCAAGCAAGTACCGACACGGGAGGGTGTTCCCGTGTGGGGCCCTGGGAGGCGTTTTTGTCGTTCGACGCTGCTTCGATACTCCTCTGGGTGCCCGGAATTATTTGTGGGACGTGGCCCTTCAGCACGGTGAGAGCAACGCAACGCTTGACCTTGTCATCGGAGGGCGAGCCCTGGCCACGCGCAGAGGGGGGCAGGGGGGAGGAGGGAAGGCTTCTTGGAATCGGAGAAGAACAAACGACATACAGTCGGGGCCCTGAAGAAGGATCCCTTTTCGTTGGGGAGGGGCTCCGCGTTCCTAAGTGTCTCACAGCTTGCCTTAGGTTTTCCTCATGCTTTCGATAGGAAATCGAAGTTTAACTTATGGAAAAAAACGGGGCCTCGTTCCTTATTTAGGGTTCCTTAGGTCAACGCCCCGACTGTAAACATAATTTTGTGGCCCTCCGCGCGGATGTCTTGCATGCGCTGTGGGGTCTCCCTGGCAGCGCCTCCGGCACCGCCCATGGCGCGCTCCGCGCGCCATGGAGGGATATCCAGTGCAGATCCAAGAAGTCCGCGCGGAGCGCCAAAAGTTTATGCTGATGTAGTTGTTCTTCATCGAAGGATGCCCCCCTGCTTCGAAGACGCGGGCCTTTTCTGTAGATGCAGGGACGGCGCCTTCTCAGAAGCAGCCTCCTTCCAAGAAGCCTTCCCCCCTCCCCCGCGCGCCGCCAAGGAAGGATCGGAGGATTCTTACCCCGAAGCAGTCCCCACCCAAGCTTTCAGTCGGTCATGTCCCTCTACAGGAGGAATGATCAAACATAGTTAATTCATATTCCCGGGACGATTTTGTTAGTATTGTTTGATTGTTGTCGTATTGTTGAATCTGTTTCATTTTTCGTCCAAAATCCCTCTGTAGGGGGACATGCCCGACCTAAATCATGTGACGAGACCCGACGGACCTCCCAATCTCCCCTATGCAACACACAGTCCGAGTACACGCAGTCTGTTCTGCTTGTCCACCTCATACCCATCCTCCCTTCCCATCCCTTCACTTCTCAGCGGTGGTCAGGCCGGCCGTCAGTTCTGGGGGCACGGCTACGGGGGCTACCGAAAGTGATTTTCAGCCAATGCGGCCGGTGATGCTTACCTTCTACTCGCTTGCTGACGCAGGAATGTCAACAAGAGCCAAGACAGTGTTGCACGGCGACCCTGTCTGGCGCAGCACGGTAACCCCCGCTTTAGCCTGGGCTTGGGCCGTCTTGCAAACAACCACTAAGCCCGCCCTCGCCTTCTTCACCCTCCCCGAGCTCCACTGCATGTGGATGGCTGTCTTGCAGGAAGGACTGGCGTAGTCAAAGTCTCGTGGTCCGATTCGTAGGATGTTCTTGTCACTCAGACGCATTGGCTAGTTGGCCACCACTCCGTTGGGCTGGAAACATAATCGTGGAGTTGACTTGTTCCTTCGGCCATGCCTTCAGCGTATTCTTCAGGAAGGGTTCCAGAATCACCACGGGAGAGTCCAGGCGGCCAAGTTGGGATGGGCTGAAGGGGAGAGGGTGCGCATTGAGCCAATTGGGCGAATCACTAAAGCCACAGGGAAGGGATAGGCCGTACTGCCCAGGAAAAGTACAGTTTCGTAAGTTTCTTGTGACGGTCGTTGGACCGAGTATCTTGCGGCTATTTTTGGCTACATTTGTCAGGGATTCTGGTCTCTCTGCGGAGAACCAGATTCCATCATCCAGCACCGTATGACAAGTGCCGCCCGGGAGGCCGTCAAGGCCAGTGACTTTTTGCAGCAGGCACACATGACAACCGTGAGTTCTACACAACTCACGTTCCGCCACCCTTTCAGTACCGGACCAGCACCCAGTGACGAGCACGAGCCCGTGGGAGGGAGGTCTTCGACACAACCGGTTTAAATGTGTTGTTGACGGGTCTTGCGTCCCGATGCCATTAAGGAGCTATCTAGAACATACGCTTGGGTTTTCATGGGCCTCGAGGGGCAACATCATGCCACGGCCAAGGGCACGGTGTGGAGATCACTGCCACCAACAAGCCGGGCGGCGACGCAGTTGCAGCTCAGTCTCCCAACAGTTTTTGTTTTTAGGCATGGCGACTATTGCTACAGCGATTGTATGAATGCGATACGTTTGCAGAATACCACACCTCAGCAGCAGTTCAATCACAAGCACAGGTATTGTGGTCTTCGACAGGCGGCTTTGAAGCAAATGGTTCATGGTACGTCTGCCCCAGCTCTGTATACCCTTGCCCACATATAATTGAGTGTTATCGCTGCCCTGTCTGCCCCAGATTCCTGGATTGGTCAGGCCAACCGGCGAGCGAATAAAAAAGCCGAGCAAGCGATTCAGATGCACCCCCAGCCGTTCCAGAGCGAACACAATGCAGCCAGCAGCTCGACCAAAGAGATCGAAACGTTGGCGCATCCACGAAAAGGCCCCGAAGCGTGTCCGCGAGGTCCAAATGTTTGTGTGCGACGATGGCTGGCACTCGTGAGGACCCTGACTGTGCTGTGGGGCCATCGTTGCGCCAGTTGCCTTACGTTTTATAGCCGAGAGGTTACCCAGAAGCCTGAAGTGGGTCGTGCGGGATTCACCGCGTTAGTGAAGGAACTCTTGGCCCCATGCCCTGACCACGGCCACCAGTTGGCCAGCACTCAGGTTGAGGATGTGGAGGGGCCGCTCCTTTTTTCTGCATGCTGTGCGGTTACTTCGCGCAACACAGAATTCCAAGTTTGGCCAAGCGGTGTGAGCGTCCCCGCAATGACGAGGACAGGAGCATCGCAGGCACCACGGCACTGCGTCGTGTGTGGAGGGGGCGGCATCCGAAGTTGGCCTGATGTGTTGCTGAGGAGGTGCCGACGGCCTCCTCACAAGCTGACCAGCATGCTGCTGTCGCGAGGCCGCAGCGGATCAAGGCCACAATTGCTTCGCGTGTTCGGATTGCCGAGAAAGAAGCTACTAGTAGGACGGGGGAGGGGGCGGGTGGTGGTGCGATACGGCGTGGGCTCGTGGCCGAGGCCAGACCTCAGGAGGCGAGACCACCTGAGACTGGGCCAGCGGTGCAAGCGCATGCGCAGGAGGCCGATCGTCAGGAGCAATTTGATGCCGAGGACGAGGCCGCCAGTTTACTTGTTTCCCAACCTCCCCCGCACAGTACTGTCGGGGTGGTGCTTCGGGGCGTGGCAGACGCCCTCAGACAGGAGGAGGACGAGCAGCCGTAAATTGCGGCTCGAAGCGGCTCCAACGGGGATCGCTCGGACTGAGGGTCTAGGTCTCGAAGCGGTTCGGTCAACGGTGACAACCAAAAAAATGCCCTTCCCCTCCTGCCCCCCCTCCGCGCTCCCCCTCTCTTCCTCCTGGCTCACGCCATTCCGCCTGCCTGGCCCGCGGGGCTCAGGGCTCGGGGCCACGCCTCTCCGCTGGCGGGGTTGCCGTGGAGCCCCTTCCGTCTCCCATGGCCGCGGCGTGCCGGACGTGGCCACACCTCGAGCTTGGAACCCTTTTCGTCCTCCTGCCTTCTCCTCCTTCTCTGTCCTGCCTCAGCTTCCAGCCTGCTTTCGAGCCGCCACCGACGCCGACGCGTCTGTACTGCCCGCCTCCCTTCTTGGCTCCCCACAGTTCACTATTTCCGTCGTACCCCCGTCCTCCGTCTCCCTCTTCTGCATCATTACCCCCGTCCTCCCTCTTGGCCAGTTGATCATGTTCTCCTGCCCTCTTCCTCCCCTGGTTTGCCCCCGACGGAGTTCCGTCCATCCTCTGAGAACCGCGCTCGGGTACAGACGTCTCTTACACCGACGTATCATTGTGTTTTCGGTACGTGATGCGTTTGGTGATCATCTTCTGTACTCAGTATTCCCATGCTTGTCTGATGGGGCTTGACAGGGCACGTGGATGATACCGTGCAACATTCGCCCTCTACCCTCCCGCCTTGAGCGCAGACTGGACAGCTTGATCCATCATATCGTTCCAATGATTGCTTGTCGAACTTCAACATCAATTTGCCTAATAACACGGTGGACAGCTTGATCCACCACACCGTTCCAATTATTGCTTCTCGAACTTCAACCACAATTCGCCTAGTTACACGGTCCTGTGAAGTTCGCATTTGTCGTCGTTGCTTCCCCACGAGACGGGTGAGGTTTTTGCATTGCAGGAGTATTCGCCATTGCGAGTGTAAGGATGAGGGGGAGGGGGACAGAGGGACGGGGCCAGGAGTTGGGAAGGAGCCGAGGAAACACACGCAAACATCGATGACTGCGCGTGGTTCAGCGACGGTCCCCGTTTCCATGTGAAATCGATGCGCTCCCTCGCCAAAAGAGGCGGCATTCGCCCCATGTTGCTTGGGTACCTTCTCCGCGCCGTGGATTTGTGATTGGCTCCCACGCGTAAGTTCAAAGGATCCTCGATCTATGTTCGCGTGCAGAAGGATGAGGAGGAGGAGACCGACGACACAAACATCTCGCAATTGCCGCACATCTGCTCCTGAACAGCTTGCAGCAGATCCCCATCCGTACGATTGCCATCGCCTCATTTGGCGAGATCCCATCCCAGATCCCCATCCATCGCCTCATTACCGATCCTGCGGACTCCCTCGGATTTCGGGGGCGCATTCCGAAGACCGACGTCGCCTTTTTGCTCGTCGTCCTTGGGCGTCGTGATGCACCGAGGCTGGTCGCTCCCTCCTCCTCCTCCTCCTCCTCCTCCTCCTCCTCCTCCCCCTCCTCCTTCTCATCATCCTCCTCGCTCCTCCTCATCCCCCTCGCTCCTCCTCCTCCTCCTCCTCCTCCTCCTCCTCCTCCTCCTCCTCCTCCTCCTCCCCCTCCTCCTCTCCTCCTCCTCCTCCTCCTCCTCTCCTCCTCCCCCTCCTCCCCTCCTCTATCCTCTCCTCCTCCTCTCTCCTCCTCCTCCTCCTCCTCCTCCTCCCCCTCCTCTCCCCCTGCTCCTCCCCTGGCTCCTCCCCCTCCTCTCTCCTCCTCCTCCTCCTCCTCCTCCCTCCTCTCCTCCTCCTCCTCCTCCTCCTCCTCCTCCTCCTCCTCCTCCTCCTCCTCCTCCTCCCCCTCCTCCTCTCCTCCTCCTCCCCTCCTCCCTCCTCCTCCTCCTCCTCCTCCTCCTCCTCCCTCCTCCTCCTCCTCCCCCTGCTCCTCCCCCTCCTCCTCTCCCTGCTCCTCCCCCTCTACTCCTCCTCCTCCTCCTCCTCCTCCTCCTCCTCCTCCTCCTCCTCCTCCTCCCTGGCCCTCCTCGCTCGCCGGCGTGCCTCGCCGCGGGAGGGTGGTCACGCTCCTGCAGAAGATGCAGAAGCAGGTGGCCGAGGAGGGGAAGACCGAGGCGCCCCGCCGCCGCGAGCGGCCGCGCAGTGCGCTCGTGGCGGGGCTGGGAAGTCGAACGCCCGACCCGGGCGCAGTACAGGAGGAGGACGGAGGGGAGGAGGAGGAGGAGGAGGAGGAGGAGGAGGAGGAAGATTCGAGGAGGAGGAGGAGGAGGCGGAGGAGGAGGAGGAGGATTCGAGGAGGAGGAGGAGAAACAGGAGGAGGAGGAGGAGGAAGATTTGAGGATTTGAGGAGGAGGAGGATTGGAGGAGGAGGAGGAGGAGGAGGAGGTGGAGGAGAAGGGGGACTGGGAGCCTGAGGAGAAACGCGAGGGCCTTCCTAATCCAAGTCAGCTGCAGTGGAGACCCGTGCCAAGAAACACCCTGCTTGCCTCCAGGGTGCCCTGGATTGCTTGGGTTTCGATGGTTTCTGCGATGGAGAGCGTGACGTTCCCACACCAAAAATCTAGGGACGCCCCGGGGTCTCAGGGTTGGGTTTCTCGTGGAGGGTTTCTTCTGGTCGGGCCCTGTTCTGTCTCAATCCTGTTTTTCTCTGTCAGAGTTCGGCCTCTGGGGCTCGCTATCGTGCCCCAAGCCCCCCGAGGTTGGAGCCCCCCTCTGGGGATCGCTATCGGGCCCCAGGCCTCGAAAGAAACATGGTCTGGGGCGAAACGTTGTTCCCGGGGGCCTCAGGGGCCGCACATCTGGGGACAGGGGGGCCCCAGATGAGAACTCAGTTTTTTCTTGTATCGCCTGTTATGTGTAGGAACGCGCGTAATAATAGAAAACTTGGAGTGCTGGATGTCGTTAGGAACGCAGGCAGTCAACACATTAATGGTGGGAGGTGGAGGAGGGGTTATTAAGTCGGAGGAGTACGAGCAGCAGCAGCAGGAGCAGGAGGGGAGTAGGGAAGAAGAGGAGGAGAAGGAGGAGGAGGAGGAGGAGGAGGAGGGGGAGAGGGAGGAGGAGGAGGAGGAGGAGGAGGAGGAGGAGGAGGAGGAGGAGGAGGAGGAGGAGAGGGAGGAGCTGGAGGGGGAGGAGGAGGAGGAGGAGGAAGATGATGATAGGTTATCAGGAAGAGGAGGAGGAGGACGAGAAGAAGCAGGACGAAAAGGATGAATGAAAATGACGCGTGCGGTGATGACGACGATGAAGCGGAGGTGGAGGAGGAAGACGAGGACGAGGAGGAGGAGGATGGTGACACGGGAACGAAGAAAGGTAGGAGGAGGCCGATTTTGAATAAGAGGATGAGGAGGGGAGTAACCCCTGGAGATCATTAGTTCTGCCGCGCCCCCCCCAAGCTCTTGGCTGGCAATGGGCTCCGCGCGCCCCTTGGTTCGCCCTGTCCTCGTCCTTGTCCTCCTCCTCCCCCCCTTCCTCGTCTTTCTCATCGTCGTCCTCCTCCTCCTCCTCCTCCTCCTTCTCCTCCGTTGATGCTCGTCCTCCGCTCTCGCTCGCTCTGGCTTGCTCCTCCTCCTTTCCCCCTTGCTCCTCCTATTCATCCTCTTCTCCCCCCTCCTTCCCCCCAGACTTCTTTCCCCACTGTTGGTCGCCTAGCTTGATGTTGTTGAGTGGTTGCTTGCCCAGGCGGATGACATCCCCTGGACTACCCTGCACGAACGATAGTTCCGTGCCTACTATGCCTCCCCTTCGTTTTTCTTATTCCTCGGCAACGGCGACGGCGGTAGCGGCCCAACCAGTGTTTGCCGATTATTGGTGGGTGTCGGCAACCCTCAATAAGGCTTTGGGGCTACATTTCTGTGGACCATTATTGGAAGGGGGTACTGAAGACAGATCGAGATTAAGAAGAGCAGGATGATCAGGTGGAGGAGTATGCGTATGACGGAGGTGGAGGGGGACGAACAGCAGGAGGAATACTAGGAGGAGGAAGAGGAGAAACATTGGAGGAGGATGAGGACGATCAGGAGGACCATGCGGATGATGGGGACGAGGGAGGATGAGTAAGGAGGCGAACGGGGAATAGGATGAGGAGGGGGAGGAGCAGGAGGAGCCGAGAACGTGAGGGAGAACCAGGAGACGGAGGAGGATGAGGAGGCTGGGTCGGTGGAAGAACTCGAAGCCGCACGACGAGGAAGAGCAGGGTCAGGAGTATGAGGGGGAGGAGGAGGAGGAGGAGGAGGAGGAGGAGGACGAGGAGGAGGAGGACGAGGAGGATGAGGAGAACGAGCAGGAGGAGGATGTTTCAGCCGAGGTGCTGTCAGGAGACGGCGTTTGAAGGTGTGTTGGGGGTGGAGGATGCAATAGGGATGACGGCTGCAGGACAAAACGGCGGACGGCAATGGGGGAGGGCGAGGGGGGCATGTTCAGGCGGCAAGTTTCCAATCCACAGGCAAGATTGCAACGTATCGCGATAGCCGTCCGAGTTGGACAATCCTCCGTGCTACCCCATTGGGGGAGGGGTCTTGTTTGAGACGTCTTTACGATGTCCTATCTGGCGACATTCCAGCTTGCGGCTTCCTCATAGTTTTCTTCTCCCGACCTGTGCAACCCGCATGTCCTTTGGTGCTCTTGGGCCACGTTGTCATCGGAAGAGGTGTATGTCCTACCGGGTGTCCTGTCCACCTCAAGTCCGACTGTACACCCAAAGGGCTGGTGGTAGTCAAGTAACCAGGCGCCAACGACCTTCCGTTGTTACCTGTCTTCCGATGGCCCCCTCGGTTGGAATCACTACTCCCTTTAACCTCCTGCACCCACAAGGTTGGTGGGATTCACGTGGTCAGGTGTCAACGACCTCACGTTGTTACATGTACAGTGAGCGGCTTGAATCAGGAACACTTGCTTTTCAAAAGGGGCTCGGTCGTTCCTCAGGCTTGCATGCGTTGTTCATCGCTCCTTATGCTTCATCTGTTATGTATCGTTCCTGAAGCGTCATTTCCTGGCAAAAAGGGGCTTAGCTCCTTATGTATCGTTCCTTGTCAGTTCGATGACTGTATGACGATGACCGCCCCGGCTGGCCTATCAATACGAGGTGGAGGCCCCGTCTAGGGGTGGGGTCTCGCTCGAGAGTCCTGCACAACTCACTCACAATCCAGGCTCCCGTTCGAGACTTCCGCGGCATTCAGGCGGCCAGGTGTCAAACACCCTGTGGTTCTCTACGTAGTCCGATGGCCGCCTCTGACGAACACGAGGTGGATGCTTTGTCGGGGAAGGGAGGGCGGGGGGGAGTTCCCTACATATGTTCACACGCGAGACATACTCTTCGACGAGGCTTCGCTCTAGACCTAACGATCTGCTCATGAATGAGTATCAAGCTCGTGATTGTGGTGATGACGACTGGCGAGGGTGGTTGTTGATGAAGAGGGGATCGTGGTGACCGTGATGATGGTAATGACCATGATCGTAATGGTGATGCTGATCATGCTGATGATGATGACGACGACAATGATGATCATGATTAGGCTATGGACGAGGTGTGGTTCCTTTCAGAGCTGGGTCGCTGATCGGGGTCGCCCAGATAAAGCCCCACATCAGATGTGGGGAGCCACAGGGAGGTCCCGTTCTTTTTACAGTGAACGGCTTGAATAAGGAACACTTACTTTTCAAAAGGGGCTCGGTCGTTCCCTAGGTTTACATGCGTTATTTTCAGCTCATTATGCGTTATTTGTTATTATCGTTCCTTATGCGTTATTCCTTGGGATATAAAAAGGGCTTCGTTCCTCATTTATCGTTCCTTAAGTCAGGCCGATGACTGTACGGCCTCCGCTGGGTCCAGGGACCTTTACACAATGCCGCATGGCGGACGCCAGCGCTGGGAAAGGGGGTGGGACTTCGGGGACCCTGCGTGGAACAGAGAGGCGCCAGATCTCCTTCGGGGAAGGGGGATTCCTCCTCCTCCTCCTCCTCCTCCTCCTCCTCCTCCTCCTCTCCTTCTCCTCCTCCTCCTCCTCCTTCTCCTCCTCCTCCCTGCGGCCACCAGTACACATATCTTTGACACGATGCTGTTGCAAGCCCGTCAGCGTGTCATTCCTTCGGCCTTGCCCGAAGACCAGGTATTTGAGTCAACAATAACATGATGATGGGTTCCCTACTGCGACGTGTTATTGATGTTGTTCTTGCTTCCTTCAATCAGCCTGCAAGCAAGGCTGGATATGCAGGGCGCGGGCGCGGAAGGGGCTTCCTGCTCCCAAGGTCACGAGCGATCAGCGTATCCATGCTTCCCAGACGATTTCTCCCCCCAACCCCCCGGGAGCCTATTCAGACTCACCTCTATCGAGGACCAGCGCCCCCCGCTGTGTATATCCGATTTGGGCCCCAAAGGTTTGGTTCATTCGAACATCCGCACAGTCCGCGATGTATTTCGATACGCCTCCCGTTAATGCCCATACCCTCGCTGCACGATTCACAGATTTGTAAGGGCAGATCTGGCTGAAGCCGGGTGGATTACCGACGGGCCCCGTTTCCGTGCAGAGCGGCGCGCTCCGTTGCCAAGTCAGGCGGCATGGGCGCCACGTTTCGGGGGGGGGTACCTACCCCGACCCGTGGATCGGGCGCACAAGCGCCTTCGATGCTCGTTTCGGGGACCTTCCTGGAGCCCACCTAACTGATCTGTTCGACCCCAGTTCGACTCAAGTTCGACTCAAGTTCGACTCAAGTTCGGCTCAAGTTCGGCTCAGGTTCGACTCAGGTTCGACTCAGGGTCGACCCAACTCGACTGACGTTCGACGCAGCTTCGACGCACGAGTGGAGCGAGTGGCTCCAGGAAGGTCCCCAGAACGAGCATCCTAAGCGCCGGATCCACGGATCCGTAATCCATGTTCGCGTGTGCTGTGCCCGATCCGCAGATCGTGGGGCAGTCGCGCAAAGCCGCCCAGTATCCATCGGAGTGGCTCGATATATATATATATATATACAGACCATATCATTGGGTCGGCCAAGGCTCCAAGGAACTCAACGAAACAATGCGGTGGACAAACGCCCCCTGCAGTCCACAGGGTGGGAAGCCGGGGCGTCTATACACCGAGCTCGTTGGCCGACCAGACGATTTGGTGTTTATTTCGAGCCCCTCCCAATCCATGTGGTCGCGGTCCGAGGGCGTTGGACGCGGGCACGTTTTCACCCACGACGAGCGGCGAATCGGTCGGTTGTCCCTGGGGCGCAGGCCTTTCGTGGCCGAGGGCCCACGGCAGGCTTCCGAGCTAGAGTCGGCTGTCTGCTTGAAACAGAGGCGGGACGTCTTGGCTTGCCGTAGGCCTACCACCACGTGCTATCATATCCTGCTGCTGCTCGTATAACGTGTCACGGCAACACTTGTGGGTGGAGGCATGTGTGTTCTTAGCACATCGGGCGAATGGTTGATGTTGCAGGGACATGTTTTGTATCGGGGGAGCGTAAGACCCGGGTTTGCCGGGACTCGGGTTCGCCATCGTTTTTTGACGACCGCGCCTCGGATTTTGACGAGGAGGAGTTTTGTGGGATGTCTGCAGCGGGAGGCCTCGTCAAAATGCAGGCTCGGCCTCGTCATTTTTTTGACGACCTCGTCGGGGATTTCCGAGTCCCCCGTACCCGGGTCTTACGTCTCCCCGATTCTTAGCACATCGGGCGAATGGTTGATGTTGCAGGGACATGTTTTGTAATTGCTAGGGCATTTCCTGCTGCCCTGAGGCAATTCCGTGGCAGGCCCACAGGGATGCGGGCACGGCCGGTCCTTGCACAGTGGGTGCTTCTCGCTCGGCACGCCATCTTCAGGAGAGGGAAGACACACACACAGACACAGACACAATCTATCGTCGATTCCTAGGAAGATATGGGAAACTATGGGGAACATTTTTACATGTGTGTATTTATTCGTGTGTCCTGGGGCCCCTTCACATCTGACGTGTGCGTCCCCAGGAGGAGCTGTACAAGAAGTTCATGTGCCGCTCTATAGCCTTCTCTCGCGCGGTCTGCGCGCGGGCGGAGGGGCGCCCACCGCTCGCCTCGGCCTGGCATCGGCTCTCGCGGCGGCGGGGTCTGCGCGGATGAAGTGGACAGCTCTAGGGGGGAGCAGGGGGACGGGGAGCCTGAGGGGAAGCGTGAGGGCCTCCTTAATCCAAGTCAGCTATTCTAGCAGGCTCAGCTTTGATTGCCCAGGCCACGTCATCGCCTAAGCCAGCCCTCCGTTTTCTCAGTGGTCAGTTCATTGACGCTACGATTCGTCCAGCCAGAGCCGGTGCAACGTCAGAAAGGAGTTTGAGTGTGTGGAGTGGGAGGAGCATGAACAGTTGGAGGACGTAGAGCGAGGTGAAGAAGCAGCTCAAGGAGAAGACGGAGCAGGAGTAGGGGGAGGATAAGGAGAAGAGGAGGAGTGGGTGAAGCTGGAGGAGGACTTGGGCGGTTTGCGCGCGGGTTGCGTGGTCGCGAGGTTGTACATAGACCGTTGCTTGTTGGCATCGGCACAGGCAGTGTCCTGGCATGCTGCCATTGCTCTTCGGGCCCTGGAAGGAGGGGACGAGGGAGGAGGTGGAGACCGTTGGGAGTAGGAGGGGAGGAGGAAAGAAGGGACGTCGCACGGTGGATGTGGGAGGTGGGGGATCAGGAGATGGGAGTGGCAATTCGGATGGTGGGGGAAGTATAATGGAAGATGACGATCCGACACGACAGCTCGAAGACCTGGCCGATGCGATGCCGATGGTGATCTCGTCCATGCGGCATGTTTCCTTGACTATTGCGTCGGTTCCGAGTCGATACACTTAAACAGTTTGAGTTGGGGACAACTTTGGTTTCAGGAGGGGCTCGTTGTTCACCAGAGATTTAGAGAAGTAGGTTGTTCCTCAGTCGATCCTTGTAAACCCATGCCACCCACGCCACAAAACAGGTACCAGCATGGAGTTTCGCTCCTCGCCTGAGGTTTAGGTTGGCGAGTCTCTTAGAAAACGCGTACAAAGAAAAGGGGTGACCGATTTGAGATCGAGGGTCTCTGAGTTAGCCACGTTGGCGCGAAGATTCGCTGCCTGGACCGCAGGTTTGCCCTTGTTCATATCGGCACCTGGATGGCGTGATAGTCTTGCGAATCGCGAAGTTTGGTGACCTCGTGAAGCCAAGGGATGTCCGAATTGAGACAACGGGTTTGGACATGGGCGCGGGCAGCTCGGATTTCGACTCTTCAGTGTTGGACTTGATAGTTTATTTGATCGAAGCCGTGTTTCCCACGTCGGTGTATACCGTCGTGTTCCCAGGTTGAGGTTGGTCGCTTCCCTTGTCCTCCTCCTTGTGAGCTCGTACGTTTGTCTGTTTAACGACGGTCGCTCTCAGATCGGAGCCTCGGGGCTCCGCTGCGCACCAGATGTCAGATGGAGCCCTCGTCGTGGCGGGGCTCGGACCATCAGAGAACGCCAGTCGCGGCCAGAGTCAGCCAGAACCGCCGGACCGTTTTTGTCAGAGCCCAGGATCGCAATCCGTTTGTTGATGTTGCGCGATGCCTCTTCTTTTCTATTTCCACCTCAATTGTACCTGGCCAAAAAAATTATCCTGGCGAAAGACCCAACCATAAGCAATTGTTGGTAACGCGTTGTGGGTGCCGCTTTCGGTGGGGCTCCATATGGGGCCACGAAGCGCTGCCTTGGATAGGGGGAACCGCATGCGGACTGCGCCACCGGGGCGGGCCTTCGGTGGAGCTCCCTATGGGGCTACGAAACGCTGCCCTGGGTGGGGGAACCGCATGCGAACTGCGCCACTGGGGCCTTCGGTGGAGCTCCCTATGGTGCCACGAAACGCTGCCCTGGGTGGGGGAAGCGCATGCGAACTGCGCCACGGGGGCTTTCGGTGGAGCTCCCCATGGGGCCACGAAGCGCTGCCCTGGGTGGGGGAACCGCATGCGAGGGCAGCCACTGGGGCCTTCGGTGGAGCTCCCTATGGGGCCACGAAACGCTGCCCTGGGTGGGGGAACCGCATGCGAACACCCCCACTGGGGCCTTCGGTGGAGCTCCCTATGGGGCCACGAAACGCTGCCCTGGGTGGGGGAACCGCATGCGAACACCCCCACTGGGGCCTTCGGTGGAGCTCCCTATGGGGCTACGAAACGCTGCCCTGGGTGGGGGAACCGCATGCGAACACCCCCACTGGGGCCTTCGGTGGAGCTCCCTATGGTGGAAACGCTGCCCTCCGCATGCGAACTGGGGCCAGCTCCCCATGGGGCCACGAACGCTGCCCTGGGTGGGGGAACCGCATGCGGACACCCCCACTGGGGCCTTCGGTGGAGCTCCCTATGGGGCCACGAAACGCTGCCCTGGGTGGGGGAACCGCATGCCACCCCCACTGGGGCCTTCGGTGGAGCTCCCTATGGGGCCACGAAACGCTGCCCTGGGTGGGGGAACCGCTGGACACCCCCACTGGGGCCTTCGGTGGAGCTCCTATGGGGCTACGAAACGCTGCCCTGGGGTGGAATCGCCCTATGCGAAACACCCCCACTGGGGCCTTCGGTGGAGCTCCCTATGGGGCACGAAACGCCTGGGTGGGGGAACCGCATGCGGACACCCCCACTGGGGCCTTCGGTGGAGCTCCCTATGGGGCCACGAAACGCTGCCCTGGGTGGGGGAACCGCATGTGGACACCCCCACTGGGGCCTTCGGTGGAGCTCCCTATGGGGCCACGAAACGCTGCCCTGGGTGGGGGAACCGCATGCGGACACCCCCACTGGGGCCTTCGGTGGAGCTCCCTATGGGGCTACGAAACGCTGCCCTGGGTGGGGGAACCGCATGTGGACACCCCCACTGGGGCCTTCGGTGGAGCTCCCTATGGGGCTACGAAACGCTGCCCTGGGTGGGGGAACCGCATGTGGACACCCCCACTGGGGCCTTCGGTGGAGCTCCCTATGGGGCCACGAAACGCTGCCCTGGGTGGGGGAACCGCATGTGGACACCCCCACTGGGGCCTTCGGTGGAGCTCCCTATGGGGCACGAAACGCTGCCCTGGGTGGGGGAACCGCACACCCCCACTGGGGCCTTCGGTGGAGCTCCCTATGGGGCCACGAAACGCTGCCCTGGGTGGGGGAACCGCATGTGGACACCCCCACTGGGGCCTTCGGTGGAGCTCCCTATGGGGCCACGAAACGCTGCCCTGGGTGGGGGAACCGCATGTGGACACCCCCACTGGGGCCTTCGGTGGAGCTCCCTATGGGGCCACGAAACGCTGCCCTGGGTGGGGGAACCGCATGTGGACACCCCACTGGGGCCTTCGGTGGAGCTCCCTATGGGGCCACGAAACGCTGCCCTGGGTGGGGGAACCGCATGTGGACACCCCCACTGGGGCCTTCGGTGGAGCTCCCTATGGGGCCACGAAACGCTGCCCTGGGTGGGGGAACCGCTGGACACCCCCACTGGGGCCTTCGGTGGAGCTCCCTATGGGCCCACGCTGCCCTGGGTGGGGGAACCGCATGTGGACACCCCCACTGGGGCCTTCGGTGGAGCTCCCTATGGGGCCACGAAACGCTGCCCTGGGTGGGGGAACCGCATGTGGACACCCCCACTGGGGCCTTCGGTGGAGCTCCCTATGGGGCTACGAAACGCTGCCCTGGGTGGGGGAACCGCATGTGGACACCCCCACTGGGGCCTTCGGTGGAGCTCCCTATGGGGCCACGAAACGCTGCCCTGGGTGGGGGAACCGCATGTGGACACCCCCACTGGGGCCTTCGGTGGAGCTCCCTATGGGGCCACGAAACGCTGCCCTGGGTGGGGGAACCGCATGTGGACACCCCCACTGGGGCCTTCGGTGGAGCTCCCTATGGGGCCACGAAACGCTGCCCTGGGTGGGGGAACCGCATGCGAACACCCCCACTGGGGCCTTCGGTGGAGCTCCCTATGGGGCTACGAAACGCTGCCCTGGGTGGGGGAACCGCATGCGAACACCCCCACTGGGGCCTTCGGTGGAGCTCCCTATGGGGCCACGAAACGCTGCCCTGGGTGGGGGAACCGCATGTGGACACCCCCACTGGGGCCTTCGGTGGAGCTCCCTATGGGGCCACGAAACGCTGCCCTGGGTGGGGGAACCGCATGTGGACACCCCCACTGGGGCCTTCGGTGGAGCTCCCTATGGGGCCACGAAACGCTGCCCTGGGTGGGGGAACCGCATGTGGACACCCCCACTGGGGCCTTCGGTGGAGCTCCCTATGGGGCTACGAAACGCGTGAGAGGTGTGCCGAGAGCAGAGGCAAGGAGGGGGAGGAGGGAGGAGGGGGAAGAGGAGGAGAAGAGGACGCGGGCACCGTCTCTTCAAAACGAGGACCCAACACCACAGGATGGTTGGGAATCAGACTGCACCTCCTAATGAGGCCCTCCTCACGTGGTCCTTTAGAGATCAAGGATAGGTACTCAGGCTTCCTACCCTTTCTCCTATCTCTCCTTCCTCCTCCTCCTCCTCCTCCTCGTCTTGGAGGGGGGGCAACCGCCAAACCGAAGATCGGGATCACCCTCAGCAGACCCAGGCGCCAATCAGGCAGGCCCTCGCGAATACCTCGACCTGGCGGTCTCTTGTAGGCTTCGTGAGGCTACGCTCAAGTACAGTGGAGACCCACGCCAAGAAACACCCCGACTGGCTCCAGGGTGCCCTGGGGGACCTGGGGTTCGATGACTCTGCGATGGCAAGCATGACGTCCCACACCAAGAATCAATGGACGTCCTGGATCGTAAAGTCGGTTTTCTTGTGGACGGGTCTCGAATCGGCGCCACCCCAACATACTTATACTATATGTTCGCCGCCCCCCCAAGGGCGGCGCGCGCACCGAGACATCTGATAGTATATACGTCGTGGCGGGCGCTTTCTGGCCACTCCGCTCGGGAAAAGATGTACCACAAGCTGGGTACACTAGATATGCTCGGCTGGGACGCGCGCCTCAAGGGAAGACACCTAGGATCAGTATGCCCCTGTGCGCCCCGATCGA